CCCCCCCCCCCCTTGAGCATTGGTTTGTTGATGCGAAGCCAGAGCTGAGAATGTGGTTTCCTAACCCTCCCCAGCACTCTTGGCACCTGCCCCTCATCTAGGAAGGGCAATAACACCCCTCTAGTTGTAGAGGGTCAAGGCCAGGGGCCAAAGAGGACCCCACCAGGTATCAGTTCCCTCCCGCCTCCGACATCCCATGGGAGTGGCAAACCTAGACACAGAGATGCGACCAGTGGTTGCCAGAGGGGAGGGGTGTCGGGGCACTGGGTGAAAGAGGGGAAGGGGCTGAGAAGCACAAATTGGTAGTTAGAAAATAGTCACGGGGAAGTTAAGTAAGGCACAGGAAATCTAGTCAATAAAACTGGGATAGCTACGTGTGGTGCCAGTTGGGGTGGTGGAAATACTGAGGGGAACAATAGGTCCACTGTATGATTGTCTAACCACTAAGCTCTACACCCGAAACCAATACTGCACATAATAAAAAATAAAATAAAGAAGGGGAAGATGGCAGTCTATGATTGGCAGGGACCAAGGAGGGCCAGCGGCAGCCTGCAGTGGCCATCTGGCCTTATCTGAAGAACATGAAAGACAGGTATTGTCCCCTGTCCCAACTTATTGTCTTCAACTATTTGGGGAAGGCGGGTGTGGGAGGCAGGCCTACCTAGAGAGAGCAGACCGGCAGCGAAGCCTGCTGCCTCTGACAACGCCCTCATCAGAGGAGAGGGTCTGAGGCCTATGAGTTTTACTTACCGCAATCCCTGAGGTGAAAGGAGGAACCTAACTGGTCCTGCAGACTCCTCAATCCTGCTGCCAGTTAAGATTGCTTGGGAAGCATTTATAAAATTACAGTAATTGGACTTCACCCCAGACCAATTAATCCATCTCTAGACAGTTTGTTTTTATTTGTCTTTAAAGGTCTCCGGGTAATTCCACTGTTCAATTAAGGTTAAGAAAACCTCTGTATTAAACTAATCAAGCCCCAAGAATTCCAAGTTGGCTAGATACAGCTTCTTGACCTGGAATGTGGACAGAGGCTTGCTCTCACAGCACGCAGGCCGAGCATCCCTTCAGGGGTGGCCCAGACCAGGTGCACTGCTCTCCCCACAGGGCACTGAGCAAGTACTTCAAATACTCGGTTTCATATCATCTTCTCAGGAGACACCTGCAGTTTTCCCAGGGGCCAGAAGCTAAACCGGTGGTTCTTGAAGCTGGAAGAGTCAGGCTTGGGAAGGAAGGCTGTGATCACAGTTAATGAGCCACCTTGCAGGGCCAGGGCCCAGCATTTGCTGGCCCTGCTCGGCAGGGAAAGGGCTTGTGGATATTCACACAAGGAGGTAGTTGTAGTCATTAAAGAAAATAGGGTGTTTTTCACGCTTCCTCTTTTCTTTTTCCTGTGAATCCCTTCCTTACACACTGCTGTCTCATTGTTTCTACAAGGTTGGGCAGAGACCAGCTAAAAAATTATTTCCAGCAAAAGGCCAGTATTGCTGATAAGTTGCATTCAGTGTTATCAGTAGCCATTAAGTTACATTTCTGAGAACTGGGGCGAAAGAAAATACTTTGTTATGTGATTCAGGAATACATTTTTAAAAAACAGATTAGAGATGAGACGAGACCTAAGACTGCCTTCCTTTCTCCATAACTACCTTCCCCTGTCCACAGCCAAAATTTCCCACAGATTGGTTCTCACAAGGAATGAGACACAGATCTTGGGAAATCGATACTGATGGTATAACATTAAAACATTCCCAGCATCTCAGAGCCACATCAGTGCAGGAGTGCTGCACTGAGATATTGGTTAAAACAGGAAGACTATTTAGATATTAGCCAGTCCCGGGCCGAGAGGATCCACCTGAACATTTTAACGTGGGAGTGGGCAAATTTTTTCTGTAAAGAACCAGATAGTAAATATCTTAGGATTGTGGGCCATGGAGCCTCTGTCCCAACTACTCAACCTTGCCATTGTCGTCCAAAAGCAGCCACAGGCACTATGCAAGCAAGGCTGTATGGGTCTGACTGTATTCCGATACAATTTTACTTACAAAAAGAGGCAGAATGGATTTGGTGGCTGGCTGACCCCTGTTCTATCTATAGTTTGAAAATCTATTTGCATTGGTGAACACAGCTTCCGTAAAGTGAACTGACATTTAATGAGTCACAAACAGCAAAGAATGACATGATAAAGGACTGACATGGATTTAATGACACAGAGTCCATACCGGTTGCTTAAACACCAGAGCACACTGTCCAGGGAACCATCATTAAATAAAATAACCTGCAAATAATGCAATTCTCACATACACAAGCACACACACACACACACACACAACTAGTTACTTGTAGGGTCATTAAATTATTCACCATTTTAACAAACAGCTGTAAAATAACATTACAGTGGAGGAAAGTGTGCACAAACTTCAGAAACACAATTCAGTTCAGATTGTCTATGAACACAGGTTCTTAATTTGCACTTTTTCACATATGTAACAGCCTCTTGATCTTGAAGAGACGACATGGCTCAAGGGGTTCACTTGTCATCTCCTTCCAACGCGGGGCTCAAGATTTAAGCAAGCCGTTTAACCTATTTAATCTGCTCCAGGTTTTGCTCAGGAAAGGGCAGCCTGCACTTGACCAAACTCCCAGGAAACAAATGATACACTTGCCTCCACCTTCGTTAATGAGCTGGTAGAAGGAGTCTTCAGATTAACATTTGTAAGGGTGAACCACAGTTAACAAGGTTTGCTTGAGAAATACTATTATTCTAAAACTAAATGCAAGGAAACCACCCCCTGAATGCACTGAACCTCACTTAACGCAGATATGTTCCCTGAAGAATTGTAAGAAAAAATGGAATCACATTTTCGACGCACCGAGAGAGTGGGTGTTGATGGCTGGTCTGTTTCCTTCCGCGAAGGGGTTTGCTCACGGAGGGGATACCGAAGCAGTAGCTGCCTCTCTTATCCACGGTAACAGAAAGAACAAAAGAGGTCTGTGAAAGCCAAAGACTTCCAGTGCCTCTAAATTATTTTACATTAACTTCAATCTCCTCTCCCCATCAAACCCTTTCTCAAAAGCTGCTAACATGTAATGTCTTTGATGCAGATGAGACTGTGTGATAGTATAACCATGATAGCAAAAGGCCAAATAACCCATAAAGTGGACAGTCAACCCACGAAGAATCAGAAGTTCCATGAGATTTCATAGGCACAGACCTGAGAGAACTTAAAACAGCTGGAAGAGGCAGGTGTGCATGGAAAAAAAAAAAAAACACAACCCAAAGGAACAAGATCACCTACAAATGGGCCGTATTATTTTCGGGCAACTTCGTATCCAGACTATAAAATTCAGAATAAATAACAGACACTTGCTTTGCTCATATTACTCTCAACTAAAAAAAAGAAAAAAAAGAAAAAAAAACTTTTAGTGTCTTCCAAAACTACCTGTATTTTCAAAATCTATTTGCATTTGTGAATAACAATAACCTGATTAAGGGCAAGATCAACAAGCATTATACAAAGCCCTGAAGTCTCAGAATTTTTTTAAACAGTGTTTTTATAAAGACAAAAACATGCTTCTCTACAGTCCCCAGAGAGGTTCTTTGCTAGAATACAACTGATCGAGTAATAAATTACTGGCATCCCCGGAAAATATGCTAAAAATTGTAAAAACAACCTCATAGTTGATTCCCTCCTCCCCCCTTCGTGTGTATCCAACAGTTTGGGAAGATGCTCCCATGAAAAATACGGGGTAACAATCACTAGTGAAGAAAACGGGGCTGCTCCCCACAACTCTAACCTCTAAAGGCTAACCTAGGGGAGGGACTTTCAGCCCAGGTAACTGAAATCTAGACAAGAGTCATCTAACTACAGCCCCTACTAGAAGTGTAACATACCCAGGACACCCTACTTACCTGACAAAGACCAGCTTTGTCGCCGAGGACGTCTTTGGCCCTGCTAGACTAGCCTTGATCTTCCATCAAGCATACGCATTTTCAGTGTCCTTGTTTCATTATATAAATCACAACAGGGAAGTCCTCCTAGCAGCTGAGCTGGAGAGCACAGAAGGTCAGACCACACCTACCCGCTGTCAGCCTCTGCAAAACAGCCCATCCCCAGGCCTCCCCTAAGACAAGGGCCGCAATACTGATCTACCTCACAAAGATGTGAGAAACAATGATCATTAAAAAGCATAAAGCACTTTGCAAATATAAAAGTGCTAGTTTGGCATTTAGAGAACCACCAGAAAACATTCATTGCTTGTGCTATTTGGCAATTTTGCATTTAGGCCTCTCCCTGCTTGTGTCCTCCTTGTATAAAGCCTGGAGCTTTCTACTGTGCCTCCCTAGGTAGGAGAAAAAAAAGAGTTTCTACTCAGACCAGGGCCCAGATCAATAAGGGTGGAGGTGGGGGCTCCAGGATCTCCCCCAGCACCACGGAGGGGGAGGGGTACCCAGGTGCACAGGCAAAGGAGACCAAGGAGCCTTGCCCCCCAACACCTGAACTTCTGCTGTCCTGTGTTTCTCACATAAAGCCAGCAAAGCTCTTGAGCTGGTTGAGCTTTGGAGCAGGTCACTGGGGCAACTGTCGAGGATGGTCTGAGGTTCACTTGAAATAAGCAGCCAGCTGACCTGGGAAAGGGAAAGTCACACACAGCCGGGATTGTTCCACTTCCCTGCACGTAAAAGATCACAAGTGAGACCTGAAGGAAACACGGAGCCAGGCACACACCTGACACTGGGGGCCAGGGCCCGCTCACCCACACAGACGCCCTGGACCCAGCGTGAAGCCAAAAAACGTTTCAAAGGAAGCAG